AAACAGTTAAAAATAGTTTCAATTAATTTATTTATTAACACTTTTGTTCACCTGGTCGAAAAATAATATAAACATTTGGCAATGGAGCAATTCATGCAAAAAACGACACCACCTTGTAAGCCACCTAAATTGAGTGGTTTCTTTATCTAAATCCCTTGCCAAAGTGCTGTTGTTTAATATTTCAGCATTTCAATTTACTTTGTTTTTACTTTGTTTGCTAATTTTTCACAAACACATGTACATAAACTATTCTCTTGCAGAAGTGTTTTTGCGGCAATGCCAGGTGCAACAAAACACTGATTGACTTGACTCGCTCAATGCCTCTATTTTAATTCATTCAATTGAAATAAGCCTAACAATACAACGAAAAAGCTAGTAAGCCTTTCTCTGCTGTAAATCGAATCGTCAATTTAGGGATGAGCCTTTTTGCGCATCTAATTTACTTGTTTATTCAAAACGTGTGAGCATCAGTGAAATGACATTTTCTTTGCGTTTCAATGTCAACTTTATAAGTACTTTTTATTTTAGAACGCTTCTGCCAAAGTCAACCTAAACACAATGCACCATCATTTACTGACAAAGTTGACTAAAATCCTTTTCACTTTGCTGGTCAACGCATAGTTGACGTGGCAAACCTATTGACCAACCTTGTGGTTTCTACTCAATCTGCAACGGCACATCGTGCACTTGACATGTCAATCATATTACTTTTTGGTGTTCTTTTTTAAACGTCTATCAATCTACTGCCTGTCTTAAGCAAAAGTGTATCAAAACTTTAAACAAACAGTTTTCTAGTGCACATCACTGCTGGCAATCTCAAAATGTGTCAACAATTGGGAACAATTTTAAGCACTGAACGTGATCAATACCTCACTGATTTTGTTTTATTAAAATTTACAAAAAAAACGAAATAAAGTCAATCGATAAAAGAAAAATATGATTTGTAAACGACCAGTCTTTTTTTATAAAAAACAAGGGTTTAGCAAAACGTTGTGAGTTTTGCAAGACTGCTCAATTTGGCTTCTTTTAGGTACATGAAAAAAGTAGTATCAATCAAATTGACAGCTTTGCTTTTCTCTCCGCCCAATCAGTGCAACCGCTTCTAAGATGACTTAACCAGGAGAATAATAGACTTTGAAATGTACCCTAACTCCCGTTTGAATGGAGCTTGGAACAGCAGCAGTTTTTTGCCATTAACCAAGGCAGCCCAGCCAGGAATGGCGCCCTCCAATTGGCGGACGCAACATGTCGGGGAGGGGGCACCGCATGCGCCCTCATGGCTCCCAGTTTAGGCGCGCTTTGCCTTCCATTCCTATACCCAATGGCCGCCCAATAATACAATCATCAACCGGCAAAACATTTTCAAACGGTTCCCTTTTTGGGGTATTGTTTTAACCACTGGTACTTCTACTGCCTCACTCGTCTAACCTATTCGAAACAGTGACATTCCTTTTGATGAATTTATTTTACATAACACTTTGTTAAGTGTGTTTTCGACTACTCACACGATGTTTCTCAGCACGCATATTCGAGCATCTTTGCTAACATTTTCATTGTGCCTTTGTTTGTTTTCACAACATTTTTACCTTGACTGGATTCTATCACTACACAGACCAGTGATAGCTAGTTTGTGGTTTGATGTTCAACTTTCCTCCGGTAATACTGTTCAACAGTACGCTGGTCCGTTTGTTGCTGCTGACTGGGAATCGTGGTGGACATATGAAGGCATTTCAGGTAAATTTATTAAATTTTTGTTTTTTTATGTTTGATTTTTTAAAATTATTGTTTAAGTTTTAACATAAACAAATAATCTTAAAAACATAGCAGCAACTGTCGTAGTTAATTTAACATAAAAAACTTTAATGTAAATGAATCAAGAAGTGTTCTACTTGATTAAATGACCCATTTAAAACGTGTTCTGCAATGATTGTAAAAATCAAATCAGAATTAAAGTACAAAGGTTAATCTTGCAATCATAAGTTTACAAACTGAAGTTAACTGCAGAATCAACTTTACAATCACAAAACTTGCCAGCTATGATAATATCTCTAGAAAAGGCAAATCACTGTACGCATCATTTAGCCCACTGAGTGGCACAATCATTGTTAGATTTAACTTTGGATCAGCATGAACAGTTTCCAACCATTTTTATTTTGCATTTGTCAATAGCCGTCTTTAGTTTCTAAATGTTTCCTTCATACAACACTTAATGAAACATTTGCAAGTAAAACCAACTGATTTTTTCTGATGATTTTATAAGTTTTAGCTGCAACTGAATGGACAATAAAATCTACAGTACTCATCAATTAGCAAATGAGCACCAACCAGCAATTGATTGTGTTCGATTAATTACCTCTGTGACTCTTTGTGACTCAATTCACAGACAAATAATTAAGATCACTTGTAGTGCAGTTAGCAGAACATATCCGATCCATTAATCAGACTGGTCACTATCAAGTCAGTTAATTTATTCTGAGTAAACAATCACAATGCGCAACATTAACCAGATGTTACCCTTCCATTGCCGTTACTTGATCATTTGCCTATTTGTCTATTATCACCGCTTGTCTGTTACTAAGTTGGTAGTAATCGGTTCATCAATAAAACTAACTTTTCCTCTCCTGTTTGTGACACACTGGGTAAGTTGTTGTGTCAGTGAATGAAAAACCGAACGTTTAATCACAGTTTTATTCAGCGTTACAGACAAATTGACTCTACTAGTGTAGTCACTGCTGTGAAACAGCTGTTCTAACGTGCCCTTTTTCAAAATTGCTTTAAAACTTGCCACCTAATTTCCATATCATAAACAACAGCAACGGGGAGCATCTTCTTGTAAAAGCTGCCACTGATTGTCGTGTCATTTGCATATAAAAAGCCAAAAGTACTGCTCTTCGACCTTCTCTCTCTCTCCCTCTCATTTTGTCTGTTCTAGTTAATCTGTTCGATTAGCGTTGTTTGTTGCAGAGGACAACAACAACAACCGAGACAGCAGCAGTTGTGAAAGGATGGCCGACTACTGTTCTAAACAATATTCTTCTTCTTCTTCTTCTTCTCCTATTTCTCTGATTTATGTGCAGGCGTCAGTGACTGCTGTGCCGACTGCCGACTGTCCTCCTCTCCATTACCGAGGCGCAGTTGCGCTCTTTAGCACACAACACATCATATTACGCATCCTCAATTGGCAGTAGCGCACAGTTTGCCAATGAAATCGATTAATTGCTTCTAATTGCCGGCTAAGTTGGCCGTCGCAGGCAAATGATAGAAGAGAAAGGGAGAAAAAGGCAATACTTAGGCAGCCCTTTGCAGTAGTGCCAACTTGAGCGGCAACTTGACCATCGCCACTGTTCACTCTTTACGGCCATTTTTTGCACTAGTGTCTACTCGTTGACGTTTCATTTTGCAAACTGCCCGCTTTTGATCGTCTGAATCACCTTCAATTGCTTTTAATTGTTTTATTATCGCCCTGCTCATCCTCTTTCTCTTCTCCTCTCTCTCTCTCTCTCTCTCTCTCTCTCTCTCTCTTTTGCACAATTTTGCTGCCTTGCAAGTGCAGCCTGAGTTGCGGTAATATATTGCCTCGATGGCATCAATTGCGTCAATTAATCAGAGAAAGCGTGGCAAAAATAATTGCAAGTTTCAATTTTTTCCGTGAACTAGTAAAGAGGACGAGTTGAGTTGAGTTTTAGAGCAAAAAGCACTAAAACTAAATTAAGAGTATTGAGCACTTTAGCTGTTGCTGCTTAACGGTGCTGCATCTGGCATTGACAATGACACTGGTTTGCACACGCGTAACTCAGTGAACAGCTAGTACTTTACATTACTTTTGTCAATTGCATCAGTTATGCACGACTTTGCTTTTTAGACCTGCAATTTTATTTTTATTTATGTGTTCAATTTTATTTTCAAAATACAGGTGCATTAAATTGTGATTGGAAAAATTTAAACAGCAATGCAAAACAAAATAGTTAAATGAAATTAAAGTTAATAAACAAGTAACAAAAACAATGTTAATTTGGTAAATATAAATTTATAAATAGTTCCCTACATTGTTAAACTTAACAAGTTAACACAATTTGTTGGCATTAGTCTAAACCTTTTAATTTATTTTTCTGTCAATCAAGTTCTCGGAAATTCAAATAGTCAGTTTGTCACTGGTGGTTTGCGTAGTGCAAACTGCTGGGAAAATGCACTGCTGCGGCATTAATAATTGGCTGATTAAGTGCTACTAATAGCTCCTTCTACATTTCAATTAAGTGAGGTGCCGATAAAAAAAACACTTGCAAAACGCTTTCTGCACTTTATGAAGCTTAGGCTGACAAAAGGCAGTGAAGTAAACGGGCACAACTGGTAATTAATGACAATTGAATGTAAAGGTGAGAAAAGTAACACTACAAGAAAAGAATCAAGAATAAAACAAGAAAAAATTGTTTCCGTTTGAGTGGGAACGACAAGTTCTCAGTGACACAATTGCTGCTGCTAAAAATGACGTTTGTCATTTTCTGCAAATGTAGTGATAACAAAAATTTGCATAGTCAATTTTTACAACTATAAGATTTTTGCACTAAAGGCGCAAAGGTATTCTAAGTATTGTTGTAGTTTCAGGGGTTTTTGGTGTTTTTCCTACATTGTTATGCTCAATAACTGTTTCGTTGTTGTCATTGTAATTTTTTTGACGTTTAAAACAATTTGTAATACGATTAACAAAAAAGTTAAAAATAAAAAAATTTAGTTTAATAAAAAATTCTTATGGTATAATAAACAAAAACGAAAAAGTTTTTTTAAAATAATAAAACCTTTACCTTTCATACTGTATTTAAAAAAACTGACGGTGTCATTGTTGGCACTTTACATTCCTTTGTTGTTTGATAATTTATATACTGACAAAAACTAGCATTGTCAATGTAACATTCCAAACTAAATTGCTCTTTGCACAAAATAGTTTAACAGCAAAAACAAAAACTTTCAAGTCATTAAAAATGTTTTTGGTTAACCTATCACAGGTCCAGATTTTTGGGGCCGCCTAAACCCAAAGTGGTCTCACTGCTCCAAAGGCCACCGCCAGTCGCCAATTGACATTGCCACCAAGTACATTCTCTACGACCCTAACCTGGAGCCGGTGCGCATCAGCGGCGATTTCGTGAAGGGTCAGCTGATAAACACGGGTCGTGGCATTTCCCTGGCCATTAACACCGACAAACCGGTGACAGTGACTGACGGCCCCTTCAGCTACACCTACACCCTCTCCAACCTCAGTCTGCACTTTGGCAGGGAAAACAGTCGCGGCTCGGAGCACACCATCGATGAGATGCAATTTCCCGGAGAGCTTCAGCTGTACGCCTACAACTCGCAGCTGTACGCCAACTGGACGGAGGCAAAGAAAGAACCAAACGGCATTGCCGCCATCTCCGTCTTCATAGTACTGGCCAAGAGCTCCAATCAGGCCAATCCAGCGCTGAAGCACATCACCAACTCGCTTAAAAACATTACCCGGCGTGGTGAGTGTTTGTTTCTAAACAAAGTTCACTTAATCTCTTTTCTTCTACCGTTTCAAGGTCAAAGCTACAGCATCGAGGGTATATCGGTGCTAGAGCTGCTGCCCACTCTAAAGCAGTACGTCACCTACGAGGGCTCGCTGACGCAACCTGCCTGTCACGAGACCGTTCAGTGGGTCATTCTCAACCGGCCCATCTACATCTCCGCCTATCAGTTTCACATGTTGCGGCACTCGCTGAAGGGCGACGGACACCAGGACAACTTTCGGCCGACGCAACCGCTCAACAAGCGACCACTGCGCGCCAACATCATTGCCCATGATCACTTGCAGGGCAGTGCAGGCAGCGCTGAAGCCACCAAGGCAAGTGCTAAACCCCAAAATGGAAAACTGCTCAACTTGAACGTAAGTTTGACGAGTGTGAGTGTGTGTTTGTGAGTGGTGTGTTTGACCGCTGCTGAAAAACACTGCTAAACAAAAGGAGAACAAAGGGGGCCACAGTTTAAAGTTTGAACTCCTCAATTGTGCATAGAGCACAGTAAAGCACGAAGGCACATCATTGGACACCCGCTGTCGGGCTAATAGAGAGCAATGCAGTTTCCGAAGCAGGCAGGCAGGCAAGAGGAGCAGGCACCATTACTGCTTTTTACCACTTGTGTGTGTGTGTGCTGTCAGGTGAATAGTCGGTGGTAATGGCCTAGCTGATGGCGCTGGCGCCACTTTTGCTCAGTACTGCACCACCACCATCACCACCACCGCCACATCACTGCCAATGCTGCGATTGAGAGTAAAAGTGAAAGTGCGCAATAAGTGTGTCTTCTGTCTTCTGTCTTCTGTCTGAGTGTGTCGTTAAATTGACCGGCGGTCTGGGCGCCGATGATGCATACACTCTCTACTCTGCATGCTCATGCATAAGGGCCATGCTAACACTGCTAAAATTGCTGCCCAGTGTGCCCATCGTCATCAATCAAACTGACCAATGGTCAGCCAGGCACAGGCGAACACACACATACACACACACATTACGAGCGACAGGACGGCAAATTAATTAGCCAATATGGGAAGAAGAGGAGAAGATAAAACAACGGAGTTTGGCTGCAGGCAAAGGGAAAAGAAGAAAAAGAAAGAGGATGAGAAGGAAGAACAGAGAAAGAGGAGCACAGTGGCAAACGGTGGTTTTACAGCAAAAAAAGTGGACGGTTGGCACTGGCCACAGGTGATTGCCTCACTTTAGGGAGACACTTAGGAAGCACGGCCGATTAGGGCGAATGAATGAACAAAATGTAACAACAGTGCAGTGAAGAGCAGACCAGAGCCGACAGACACGCCGTGTGTGTGTTTACTTGTACTGATAGAAAGATGGCCGATGCTGATAGTGGTGGACCACAGTGTTGCTGTTGTGTGCCACAATTGAGCTGAGCCAAGTCAATCAGAGTCGATCGGGTAAGGACGATTACTACCTGAACTAAACTAAAAAAGAAAAGGTATTGAGAACAAAGTGAAAAGGTAAATTTACATCTGCACGTGCTCACTTTGTTATCTCAGAAAAAACAGTTGATAAGTTAACTAAAACAACTAATTGTTTGCCGAGTGAAGTTCAGTAGCTAGCTTTCTACTTAAAAAACTAAATTAATTTCCCCACAGTAAACTTCCCTCTAATGGGATTACATTGAATTGTAATTAAAATGCAAAAAAAACTAACCATAAAAGACTGGTAGCGGTCATTTGTTTTCTGTGTGTATGTGTTTGCTCATTTGTCCAGTGAAGTTGATAACCATCTCCTGTGCAACAAAAACACACTGTTTCTAAAACAGATTGTGCTCCATTTTGATTGTGTGTGTGGAGAAAACAAAACCTCAGTTGTGCATTTTCAACTAGCGCATCTAGTGACCGTTGATTACTACAGCGGTTCACTTTATGAGTACAACAACTGCTCGGTCATCAAATTGCTCAATTAATCTTGGCTGTTTTTCAGCCACCTAAGCTCATCAAACAGTGGTGGTGGTGGTGAACGCAAGTGATGAACCCATTGCCTGCTCACTGACTTCCTCTCGGTTGCGACCTCTGTGAACAAACACAGATTGTGTGATGAGTCGATCGACAATCAGTCCCTTTTGCACAGGAAAGTAAGCGCACTTGCATTGTAAATCATTTCAGGTGCTACTACAGCTCAGCCCTGGCGCTAAGGTTTTATATCGAGTGGTCACATTTTTTCAGCTTGCATGTAGTTACGTCCACGTTACCACAGCTCACACAACTATGTCCAGTCTCTCTGTGTGATCGGTGTTTTTTCGGTAAACAGCATCAAACTGTACAAAGTGAGTGAGTGAGTGAGTGCACACTGCCGCCTCACCGATTGGTATCTGCATAATCGTGATTGTGTCTTTGAGCGCATTCATCTTTAACACGGTACTGATGAACTGATAGTGAACTGATCAGAACAAACCGATAGTGCACCGGCCTGCAAACTGCTGCTGATAGTCCACCGATTGTCGGTTTGAGGCACTGAGAACACACTGGCGCCCGCCAATCAGTGGCACTTTACGTTTGCTCCTGCTGTTGCTGTTGCTTCTGATGGCTGCTTCTTTACCACACACGCAAAATCGGCTTAGCTGTTGTCGGCGATGCCAAGGGAATTACTACTACCACTGCCCTGCAGTTTGCATAAGAATAAATCATTTAGGTGGCTTCAGTAACAAGTGTGTGATGGTAACAAGATCAAAAGCTGTTAATGTTAAATAAAGGGCAATTTAATGTGAATCAGTAAATTGGATTCAATCTTCTGATATTGCGGCTGTACAGAGAAAAGGAAAAAAGTTGAAAACAGCTGGCCAGTTTATCTGCCACTAAGTCGTTGACTGATGAACTGCAAATTGTCAGATTTGTAGAACACTGAAGGTTGATTTTACAAACATGATAAAATGATAAAATTTTAAAACAAAATGTCGTTTTACTCTTCAGTTTGTGTGAAAAATTGTAGTAAATTTCAATTGTTTTGTGCTATACTTCATTTAATAAAAAAAATTTAATGTTTTAAAACTAAATTTTAAACGAACAAAGTTAATTTTCTGATTCATTAAACTAAATTAACATTTTAAAAGGTTAAAATAAATTGTTTAATGCAAAAATGTTAACTTTTAACTTTCAATAAAATTGCTGTTATTATTTTATTGCATTTACTGTATTAAAAGGATGAGTATTCGAAACATTTTAGTNAATTAACATTTTAAAAGGTTAAAATAAATTGTTTAATGCAAAAATGTTAACTTTTAACTTTCAATAAAATTGCTGTTATTATTTTATTGCATTTACTGTATTAAAAGGATGAGTATTCGAAACATTTTAGTTGCCATTCTGATATCATCTATTTTAACTGTTTTTATTGAAATAGCATTCAAGTGTATGCCATTGAAATGTAATTGTAAATCATTTGCTTAAAAATACCAACTTGTTTGTTTTATGTTTAAAGTTGTAACAGTGTATTTTTAATTAATCGTTTGCAGTTGTTGCTTGAACGCTTTTTATGGAATTTTAATTGTTGCAACGGCGCATCGCTAGAAAAGTCGGCATGTGTCAGTGTGTTTGCTATNCAGCATTCAAGTGTATGCCATTGAAATGTAATTGTAAATTGTAAATCATTTGCTTAAAAATACCAACTTGTTTGTTTTTGTTTAAAGTTGTAACAGTGTATTTTTAATTAATCGTTTGCAGTTGTTGCTTGAACGCTTTTTATGGAATTTTAATTGTTGCAACGGCGCATCGCTAGAAAAGTCGGCATGTGTCAGTGTGTTTGCTATGACTAGTTTAATTACTAAAAGCAAATTGTGCAAATGTCAGTAGTGTACCACAACCAAAAACTTCACTAATTACCCCACAAATGGGTTTTGGAAAAGGGTAAACTAAGGATAAAAAACAGTTCAACGGTTCACTGTTGTTTTAATTGCATTTTTGTATTTTAAAAATAAAATGTGATTTAAAACTGATTTTTTTACTTAAAACAATCTGAAATAATTTGCAAAAAAATTCTAAATCTAAAATACTAATTTACGTTTTTTAAATTGTTTATAGAGTTTTATAATTGTTTTCTTTTTTAATAACTATTCTGATAGAAAAACATGCCAGAATTCTCCATGATGGCCGATGAACCGGTTCTTTCATTATCTGAAGAAGATCAACAGAACATTGAACGACTGAATGATTTGGCTAAAAAGCTGGACAGTGCCGATGTATCATCACCAAGCAATTCCTGGAAAGATCCAAACAATTCTGCGGATGCTTTAGAAGCGTTCAGCAAGTTGACGCCGTCTACAGTTCGAGATGCGGTCTGTCTGCCTGATCAACTGCGACTTTACGGTTATCGGGGTAAGTATGCCTGTTTCAAGTAGAGTTTTAAGTGCTTTTGTAGGCAGATAGTGGCAATATTGGTGACTTGCACTGCTTTTTCCTGCATTGTCAGTGCTCAAGCACACATTTCACGCGCGTTTGCTAATCAGCCATCATCTTTTTGTTTTGCTAATGTATCGTTTTATGGTGTGCCACTTCGACTTGAACTTTAAAATTTGATAATCTTCTCGCCGGGCGGTAATTTTATTATGCCTACTCAACTACCACTGAACATCATCACTGCACCGACGACACAACAACAACGACAACAACAACCACAACCACCACCACCACCACCACCACAACAACCATCACAACTACAACACCTGAAATCTGCAGCAAATCGCAAAGTGAACGAAGACATGTAAGAGTCATCTCTGTCCGGGGACGGTCGGCGGTCAACGGAGATCAAAGGACATTACCGGAAAAATGGCCGAGATCACCGAGAAGTGGCTGAAAAGAGGGGACTATGTGCACTTGCACAGCGGAACGCACGTTTTTCCGTTCGTTTGCAGGGGAAACACTGACTGAGCTGAGCTGACTGAATTTGTTGTCCGCTGCTTCTCATCCATTTGCATGACACGCAGTGACCAGCAAAACAGCGTGCAATGATGTGTGGTCAGTGTGGTCTGTCGCCATCATCCTCACTGCTTGTTTGTCTGTTTCAATTAACACCCGTACTACCACCACCACCACTACTCATCTTCTAGTCGCCTGACACTGTCCCGCACACTCATTTTTTACTCATCATTTTCTACCGCAACTAGCTTTAGCAATACTACAGCACATGAACACACACATGCTAGTTGTAACTAACACATATCTTTTTGGATCATTAATCACAGAGCGCGTACATACACACACACGCCGACACTTAATTGTTAATTGACCTATTAATAAAACATTAAAACGTTTTGCTNGTCTTTTTGGATCATTAATCACAGAGCGCGTACATACACACACACACGCCGACACTTAATTGTTAATTGACCTATTAATAAAACATTAAAACGTTTTGCTCTTTTTTACTTTTTTTGTTTTTGTTTTCACAATTAGCTAGTTAATAAAAAAAGTTGACATTGTCGACGGTAGTAAAATGATGCGTTTTAAAGGTTTTGCCATTTTCAGAAAGTGGATCATTAAAACTGAAGTGATAAATAAAATTTGCAAAACAAACTTAGTTTGGCAGTTGTGTTACACTCAAGAAAAGTAATAAACGATTTGTGTGATAACAAGTACTGAGTTATTAAAGCAATAACTGGAAATAAATTGTTATATCAATCCTAATCAAAATATGTCTTTTCAAATGCGCCTACTTTGACAATGAACAGAAAAGTTCGATTTGCGTGTCAGAATGAATCACCGTTTGGCACCTAATTCTGAGGCAATATCTCTCTCTATAGAAGTGGGCAGTAAATAAAGACAAGCTTTGGTAGTTCATTAAGCATCGATTAAAGGCAATAATTGCACAGTTCAGTCTTGTGACAGTCAAATTGATCCGAGGCAATTTTTCTCTGTCTTCCCAAACTACTGCTGTTCTTGTGGCCGACTGTCTTTTGTCTGAATCTAATCCTACTTGCGTGAAAAAGGCAATTCAGTGCAAAAACGGAACAGCAAAAAGGCAGCATTTGAGACAGTGCATTTAGAAAGGGTCGCAAAGGGCGCCCGCTCAATTGCCAGAGGATTACTGCCTGCGCCCTATCAGACAAAAAGTGAAGCCAAGTTCTTAGTACCCAAACTGTTTGGGAAGACCATTGATTGCAAATGCTTGCTCACACTGTGTGTGTGTTTGTGTGTGCCGCTCTGTGTTGGTGTGCGGTTTAATGAGAGACAATTAGATTGACATCAGTTGCACCTGCCACCAGTCGAATAAACAGGCAGGCAGGCAAGGGAAGGAATAGGCAAATAGAAAAACTATTGAACTTGCTTGCTTTTTAAACAGCAGTAGCACCAATAGCTGACTACTTCATAATAATAATCAAGATAACGAGCTAATCATCAGTAAGCATAGTAGTGTTCCTAAACAGTACAATGCAGAGCTACATGACGGAAATTAAATGACAAAAGTCAAGTGATCAGATAACACTGAGCGTTTTCTGTCATTTGTATTTGAGGTTAGTTTGCCTTATTCAACCCAATTTTTGAGTTTCCAAATGGAAGTTCATTGACGGCATTTATTAAGTGATCAATTCGTTTTTGGAAATCAACTTTGAACTTGCCCTTTTCCAATTACAGTTTTATGTGAGACCAATAAAAACAGCAAAGCATTTGTATTTTATTTTTACCGATTAGAGTGGCAGTTTCGGAAAGTAATATTCATCTACGTTACAACAGTTGGCATTGAAATGGTAAAAATCTTTGTAAAGAGATTGAAAAGGCCGTTTCGTTTAATTGAATTGACATTCAAACTGCCGTTTTTACCAACAAATGCCGTTTTTAAATAAAGTAAAATAAAATTAATTGTTTCTGTTTTTATAAAAATATTCATTTTGATATAAAATCCAATTTGTTCAAATAAATTTATGTGCCTAAAAAACATTTAATAATGCATAGTTTTTGCTTAATTTTTCTACTTATTTATTCAATTACAAATAATCGTTTTTTTACTGATATTGTTCTGATATTTTTAGTTTTTAATAAAAACAAAATTGACTTTTACTAAAAAATATTTTGTTTTAAGTCTAAATAAATAATTTTTTATTGTTATTTAATGTTTAAAAACTGATAGATTTTTTGTTTAGTAAATTGAGCGTTTTTCCTGACCCTGACACAAAGGTTGCGTTTAACAAACAAAATATTTTGTCGTTTTGACTAACAGGCCAAAAACAGAGAGAAGAAAAACGACAAAAAAAATTTTATTTTAATAGAAAATCTCAATTTGGCGTTGAGCACTGTTTGACTCATCTAAATTCATTTCTTTTTTTCTATTGTCAAGCATCTGTCGTATGCAGATAAATGCTGTTTTGTCAGCATCGCTTTCAGTGGCACTGATATCTGAGAATATTGCTAAGCATTTTGTACCCACACGCAAGCAGCCATTCATCTCAAAACAATTCCATTGACTGGGGCACTGTGCTGGCATTCTTCCTTTTACCTTTTCAATTTTTTTATTGCACCGGTTTCGCATTTGTTTCAGTTATTGAATGTTGTTCATTTATTAATTAATTTGCTGAAAAGTCATTGTAAGTGATAGGACTTGCCTTTTTACAATGCAGTAATTATGTTTTTGCATTTTTTAATTTTTGAGCTTTTTCAATTTACTGCTATTCAATTGCTCACCAAGGTGTCAACGTAAATCATAGTCAAGTGTTCTTGAGTCCACTTGTTTAGCAAAAACTGTGTGCGCGTTCAACTGTTGTTTTTGCTAACTTGCTAGCTGTTTAATTAACAAACACGAGCATTAGAACTCGATTGAGTTTTTATGTGCTGGGCTCTCTTTTTTACTAGTGCACATCAAATTCATTCGAATAGCTATGCAATCAAGGAACTACAAAACACGTGTAAATAGATTTATGCTGCATTTGCTGTAGCTAATCTTGAAATGAGGCAAAAAATTAAACATTTTTCAATTTTTTGTTGTGTTTTATGAAAACCTCATCAAACAATTGATTGGACAAAACAAGTTTTTTTTGTGTTTTGATAGTAATTGATTTGAGAATAATGCAAATAATTTTAACAATAAATTATGTTATTTGTTAACTTGACCGTGCATTGCTGTTAAATGCAGCCACCCATACATTCACATATTAAATTTTTAATGTTTACAGATATATACAGATGTTTTAAGTAAAACAATCAAACTTTTATTTAAAATTTAAAACAGTTATTATTTCATAATATATAAGATTTGTTAAAAAGAAGTTAAACTTTTGCATAAAATCTGTTTTAAATTTTATAAAACAATCAGTTTAATAAAACAAAGTTACAGTTTAGTTAAAAGTAATAGATGCTGGCAAATTTAAACAAAAGTTGCAAATTTTGAAAAAAAGCAATTTGTTGTTCATTGATCGACGTAAGTCAATCGGCCACCATCTGTTTGCTAGACTTTTTGATAAATTTTTTGGTTACATGTGCTATTTGTTATCGATTCAACAACTGTGTTTGCTGTTAGTATAATTTTTGTGTTAATGAAAACATTACAGTGCATATCATGCATTTAAAAATCAAATAACCCACAAAATTATTTTAGAAAAACAACCAAAAATTTTTTAAACAATGCATTTATGTTAAGCAAAAAGTTTCATGTAAAAATGTTAACAAATAAATTCAATTATCGTTGTCAATTTTGTTTCATTTTTAAAAATATAAATCAGTTTAAAAAATCTTTCATTTATTTTATCAATTCCACTCATTTGTTCTTGGTAATATAACAACGCAATTAATTATTATTGCACCTAACGTTACTAGTCTTAAAGTCCACTACTGGTCATTGTTTAATTTTGAGCTAAACAGCAAAAGCTGCAGCCAAATTGTTCCTGTCAATGATAATTATCAGCTGCCATCGTTTCATCGGTGATCATCACTTAATGGTCGTTTGGTGTTGAGCGCTAAGAAGTGTAAAAAATGTGAAAACTGTCAAGGCAAGAGAGCCAGAGTGAAAGGCAAAAAGTAAGCAGTGAAAATAGCATCAGTAGCGTCTCAACGGCTAATCGCAGTAATTGTAATTGGGTTTGCTTACACTAGCGCCGCACTAGCTCAACGCAAAGCCAAAGAGAGTGTAAGTTGCAGTGCACTGCCAACAGATTGAAGAAATGAGTGGGCTAATTCAAAGTGACACAGCCTCGCCAATGTCCGCCGCCGCCGCCGCGTGCCTTTTGCTGCGCTCTGTTCCCGTGATAAATGGGCAGCAATTGGCTAGAAAGTGGCTGGCAATTGCTGCTGCTGTCCGGCACACTGGCCTTACTTACCAGTGCCAGGAGTGTAGCCAGTCGTTGTTGTGACCAACAACAGCTGAAGTTGGAGAATGATGGCTGTTTAAA